GGTTTATTAGGAATTATAAAAGTAGAGCGTATATAAATATAATATTAAGTTAAATTATTATTATAGTATAAAGAATTAATCTGATCTTCTCTTAAAAACGCTTTATATTAACTAAAGTTACTTAAAGGTTATTTTTTTTAAGTATAACTATTAATAATAAAGTAATTAGTGCCTTTAAGTTAATAAGGTTAAATCTTTTAGTAATTTACTTAATATATTAGTTATAAGCTAAATAGATCTTTTACTTTAACTAATTACATAAGATCTATATACCTAAATACTATTTAACTAAGCCTTAGTTTTTTACCTTATATATTATTTAAATTCCTTCTATAATCTTCTTTATATTTCTTGTATAAAACTTATAATAAAATATAAAAATATTATTAATATAAAAAAAAAGAAATACCTTCTTATTTAGTATTTAAAAGAGATATAGGTCTTTACTTATAGCCCTTATTCTAAGACAATATAAGGTCCTTAAGAGTTCTTTATACTAAAGAAGAAGTATATCTTTAAAACCATAAAGTATATACTATAATTTAATAATTTTATTTAATATCTTAAAGCTATCTAAGAGAAAGTATATAATAAGTAGTTTATTTAGTCTTTTCTTAGCGTTTAGAAACGTATTAACTATATTGAATTAGTATATCTTAAAATTAAATTTAGCTATAATAGCTTTTATAATATAAAAGGTCTATACTATAAGTATTACTATATATATTTATTTAAAAGAATATTTTTTTTTATATATTACCTTTTATATAGATTTATACTTTATAATAGTTAAAGAGACTATTTTAGTTTATCTTATATAAGACAACTTACTTTAAAAGAATTAGTTTTTAAATAACTTTATTCTAGTTTATTACCTTCTAAGTACTTATTTACTTAAGCTTTTAAATCTTAGTTATTATTATTTATAAAAAAAAGTCTTAATATAACTAAAAAAAGTTTAAAAGCTTTTTTTAGTTCTTTAATAAAAGTAATAGCTTTTTTATTTTTTTTTTATTATATAGTTTTAGTATTTTCTAAGTATATTTTACTTAAATAATTAATATATAGATATAACTATAGATTATTTAGTATTTAGTAGCCTTTTTATTTAGTTTTTTTTGTTTTTTTAGTAAAAAGGTATTAAAGAATATATCTTAGTTTTATTCTAAATATAAAAATATAAAGAAGTAACTAGTGTTCTTTGTCTTATTAGATTAGCTTATTATTACTGGTTCTAGTAATAAGCCTTATTAGTATTAACTTTACTAAGTTAAGGTATTATAGTTTAAGCTATTTTAATTACTAGTACTTAATCCTTACTCTTAGTTAATGTAGCTTATAAATACTAATCTTAAACGTGTTATCAGTTTTTTCTTTACTTTACTCTTCTTGTTTAAAGGTAAATTAGTATAAATAATAATCTTATCTTTAATTACTTTAGTTAAGTAATTAATTTCTTTAGATTCTAATATATCTTTGTTTACTATAGCTTAGTTTTTAATAGTTATTATTATTCTAATCTCTTAATCTAAGATATCTTTTAGTTTAAGTAAAGGTTTAAAAGTTAATAGCTATTTTTTTTACTAAATATAGTTTATTTTATAATTACTTTATTTCTTTTTATTTAAAAATATTATTCTTAGTATAAAAGTAAATAGTAAAGGCTATTATAAAAGGTATTCTTTTTATAAGATTAAAGTAATATTAACTTTTTTTATAATACCTAGAACATAGAATTCTAGGTTATAAGTTATACTTAAGTATTATATATTATTTATAATTACTTATACTTTTTTAACTAAGATTATTACTTTTATATTATTTTTCTATATCTTTTTCTTAGTTCCTTTAAATAAGGTATACTTAGTAGCTATATATATAAAGTTATTCTTATTATAAATATAAGTCTTAGTTAAGGGTTACTTAGTATTAAAGTTATTATTAGTAAAAATATTATTTAAACTATTTTTTTTCTTTTTTAATTAAGTAAAGCTAAGTATTATACTAAAAAAAGCTAATATTATAGAGGTATATATTAACTATTACTACTTTAACCTATAGTTTATATAAAAGGCTTACTTTAAAAAGTAGTTTAATATTTCTAGTTATTATTTTCTAGCTAGCCCTTTTAGCTTTACTATTTAGCTCCTTTATATATAAAAAAGTAGTCTTAACCTTAATCTCCTCTTTTTCTACTTATTATTAAAACTCTATATTACTATTAATTACTATAACAAAGTAGTCTATATCTTACCTTATTTTATATAAAGTAAGACTATATTACTTTACTACTTATTACTTAAAGATATATAGAACTCTAAACATACTCTTATAGGTTTTTAATACCCTTAGAAATCTAAAAAATTAACTAGTGTATTTATCTTTAATCACTATAAGCCACAAGTTCTTATTATACTCTTTAAAGTAGTTAAAGAGGTCCTAAGTAATTCTATAGTATAAGTAAAGTAACCTTTATTCTAATCTTTATTTTAAAACTACCTTTTTTATATAAGTTATTTAGTAATAAAAGTATTTTAATCTCTTATAGGCCTTAATCTTTACTTCCTAAGTATTTAAGACTAATTACTTAAACGCTTAAGGTCCTAGATAGCTACCTTGTAAGTACTAGAGCTAAGTAAGGTCTAAGTAAGTACTTTTCTTATAGTATAAAGGTTATATAAAAGTATTATAATAAAGTAGTATTATTATATTAATATTAACTATAGCTATATTACTTATAAGGATTTATATATAAGTAAAATAACTAATAAAAGGCTTATATTTAAAAAAAAAAAATATTTACTTTTTATATAAGTTACTTAACTATAAAGCTGTTTAAATATCCTTTATATTAAAGAGTATAATTAAGTCCTAAGTACTAAATACTTATTATATAAAGTAAAGCTTTTAATATAATATTTATATAAAAATTCTTTATATATACTATATTCTTAAGCATAAGGTCTTAGTTTATTTTATTTTAGCTTCTAAGAATCCTTTTAATTATATATTTACTTTTTATATAAATAAGATATAAAGTAGTACTTAAATTAATTTATTAATTACTTTTCTTAACTACTTAGACTATACTTAGCTCTAAGAGAAATATATTATTTACTAGGTAAATAGCTTTATAGTTATCTAATATAGTATTATATAAAAGGATATAGTTATAGGCTAAAGTATAAAGTAATAAAGACGCTATAAACTTTTTTTTTTTAAGTAGCTTTATCTAGGTTTAGTTAAAACAAAATAAAATTAATAATATATATAATAACTTTCAATAATAAATTATTATTAAATCTATTATTATTATCTTTATTATTATTAGCTTTATTATTATATCTCTTAAAATCTTTTTTTTAAAACAAAGGGATTATTTAAAGCTACCTTTTCTAAGTAAATTTAGTTTAAAGGTTTATATTCTAAGGGTTATTAATTTAATTATAGATTTATTATATATTATTATTAGTAATTAAAACTAGTTTAAGTAAGTAGCTAGTAAACGTTTTTCTTATATAAGTATATTTAAGTAAAAGCTAGTAGTATAAATAGTTATAAATATATATTTTATTTAAGTTCTTTAGTAAAAAGTAGTATATATTATTTTTAGTTAATATTATAAAATAATTTATTAAAGTTATATAAATATTAAGCTTTTTTTATAATATTTTATTACTAATAAGTTTTTTTATAAGATATTAATTAAAATTATTATATAATTATTTAGGCTTTTAATTAAAAAGCTTATTATTTTATTTTAAATAATTTCTATAAATCTATAAGTTACTCAAAATAAAGTAATTTTATATAATATTATTTTTAAAAAAGTTCTTAAAATAAAAGTATTTTAGACTTTTAGTAGGTTTAAGATTTTTATATAAAAGTAAAAATTTTATTATTTTATTAATTAAATAAATAAGTTAATACTTAAAGCTATTTAATTTAATAAAACTAAATATTTTTTTTAAATAATAGTTTAATTAAATAAGTCATTTAGTTTATATTATTATTTAAAAATTTTAAATATTAAATAAAATATTATTTAGTTTTATGTTAAAGCTTTTATTTAAATTAACTTAAAAAGTAATTTAATAATTAATATTTTTATTTATATATTAATTACATTAAATACTTTTTATTATTATTTTTAAATAACTTTTTTTATATTAATATTTAAAATATATATTTAATATATAACTTTAATATTTAAATTAGTTATTATTAAAAAAAGTTTATTATTAGTTTATTTAAGATTTATATTAATAATAAATTTATTAAAAATAAAAATTCTTAAAGTATTTAAAATCTTATTAAAATATTTAAGTTTATTTTTTTATTTTTATTTAAATTTATTTAAATTAATAAATTCTTAAATATACTTTAACTTTATTTTAAGCTAAAAAGTTATATATTATAAAAGCTAATTACTTTATATCTTAAGCTTTTTTATAGCTTTAATAAAAATAAATATATTAAAGATATTAGTTTAAAAAAATAAAAATAATTTATTTAAAAAAGATTTTTTAGTTTATAATATACTTTAAATATAGTAGTTTAAAAGTATAATATAAACTAAACTTATAACTATTATAGAGTTACTACTTAAAGTAAAAAAGATATAAAGAAAACGGCTTAGATTTCTATATATAGGATTACTTTGTTTAAAACAAATAAATATATATTCTGTGTGGTGGATCTGTATAAAGAGACTGGACTAATAGTTAATCTGGGCCCAGCGCAAATCTCACAAGGCTGCGCGATGCGCGTGAGGGCATCGCGACACTAACTTAGACTGCACTACGAATTCCCGCAGACCGTTTACTCAGCCTCCAGAAGCTACCTGTTTTATATCTTGCGGCTCGACGAATTCGACATAGAACGAAGCTGTCCCATCGCTGACAAGCATCTGCTCCAGGAGATGGATGCGAATTAGCAACGCCACCGTTTTCCGTCTCGGAGCCCTCTTCTGACCCTAGATGATTGCAGTGTATCTAACTATGGTCCAGAAGCTTGGCGGTGGTGTGGAAGACACTCGCGGGTTCGACGTAGGCTCAAAGTCATGAAACTGACTAAAGATTCTATTCAGGATCCGTTCTTCAATAGCCTTTTTGCCTTTATCCATTTGGGCATCCAGGGCCTTTACGCCATGTTTACGCCTAGAAGCTGGTTAAGTTCAGCAGGGAAAAGTAGAAAGAGTTCGAGGCGACGAAACCTCCCGGAATGGTGCCGCCGAGTATCCGGTATCTCTAACAAATGTCGCAGTCCGTAGCTGAAGCATGCTGTGAAGACATCATCATCATGACAGAGACGCCGTCGGAGCTTGCCCTCTACGAGGCAGGCAAGAAGTGCCGGGACGCACACTTCAACAACATTGTTTGGTCTTACGAGCAGCCCGTCTCCTAGCAGAAGCCGAGAGCGGGAGATCCATAGCTCTTTGCAGCGAATTATAACACCAAACAATCCTAGGGAGTTACAACAATAAATAACTTCAAGCTTGGGACTTTATGGAAGTTCGTACGAGAACTAGAATCAGGCAACGGCACTTCTGATATCTTTGGATGGCCCAAGTTACAGGGCCGGGCCAACATGTGCCAAAGCAACGAACTTCGTTCTCACGGACTGTACCGACACTGATCTATATCCTACGGAAGTAATGGGCGTTTGAATCAAAGGGTGGTACATTGGGAGAGCGAGGGGTGGGGGGCGGTTACACGGACGAATGCAGTCATCAACAGCTGATTAGCTGATTTCCAGACTTTACGGAGTTGGATCTCTCCAGGGCCGCTTAGTTGCATTTTCTTGCTCTCCTTGGATTTATTTCTGCTCCTTAGTGTAAAATAAACTTGTTTTGGTCTTCCTCAAGCTCACAGCCTTTAGGCACAAGAATGATGCGCCACGCGGTTGACCTGAATGACGATAAAGTTCATATCAGCACGCATCTAAATGTTCGTGGTTGCAAGGCGGAAAATGGCAGTTTCTCTCTCCATTCACAGTTAAAGCCAAGATCTACGTATCCTTCTTATGAACAACGATAGTCAATGTCTTATGGCCGCGTTTTGACATGATGTTATGAACTCAGCTTCATGCCAAGCAGGATGCGGTCTGATCTTCCGCGACCCGCTGCCTCAATTCCGGCCCCGGAGGGCCGTCCGCCACCAAAAATTAAGACGACAGCGGACGAAGTTTCCGGCCGGTCTTGGTAACGTAGCCGACATCGTTGCTTCACGGTCCGATCCTTGAGAAACGCCAAGATCGCGGAATGGCGAACGGATGAATGACCCACCACGAAGCGGGGAGCGCCCCGCTTCCTTCGCGAAGCAAACCAATCGCAGGTTACTGGTAAGCGCTCGTGCGAGTCCCGTCCCCTATCGGGCCACATTTCAGCCCCTGATACTCTCATGGTGACTGGTGTACTTGAGCAGAGACCGATCAAGCAGATAGTCTCAGTATTTAAGCTTGGTTTCCGGGCCGAGAACAAGCCTTTGAATGCTGACTTCCGCGTTCCAACGAATCATCGACGCACAACATGGAAATTTACAAGAATCCCGAAGGAACAGGGTCGAGAGTTTCTTTACGCTCTTCCCGGGACTGGAATCTCGAAATAAGGAACGAGTTTGCTGACGCTGCGGAAACCTGCTTTGTTCGGCTTTCTACACAGTATGCTGGGGGATATCTCCCGCTGAGCGATTACTTGGATGGCGTGCTGTCTCACTTGAGGAAAGGAGCGATAAAGCATAAGTGGGATGTACCGCTAGAAGACTTGAGCGACTTCTTAGAGCTGGACCTCTTCGCGGGGGCTGTCAAAGCACGGTATCTCGATCCGGCTTTCGTCCCCTTGGAAGAATATGGTGAGTCTCCCACGCGCCATTTCCTCCCACTCAAGCTGACTCAAACTTTGCCACGCCAAGACTACACTAAGGCAAACTGTCTTGCTTTCAGATCATGGATAACAAGTGATCCAGACGAGTTCGATCGGCTCGGCCGAGAGGACCAGACCGAAGCTTCAGCGTTGCTACCGGAAATTGCCGACCTTTTGCTGGTGATCTGCTACGCAAGGCGACACATACTTTTGTTTAGGCACCTTATTGGTCTGTTGCCGGGGCCTCCCGACAGGTCTACCTTTGATCTTTTGAATGAGATGTTGCTACGACCGCGAACCGCCTATTGGACCTCAATACACCAGCATTCCCCAAAAAAACAGAGCAATTCGGCAGACGAGATAAGTATGTGGACTGATATCCTCAACTTCGGCTGGGTGCATGATCCCGTGAACTCGGAAACGCAGCGGTTCCTGCATCATGGAATACGCAGCCAAGATCCCGATGTTGAAAGAGACGACAACGTCGCGTTTGGGAGTCAGAATTTGAGGGACTTTCACCTCGCTTTGGCCTCTAGGGAACTCTACTGTGACGTGGCATCGCTTGGTGGTTATCTGGCGAGTTGCAGATCTCTCGACGAAGCTCTCGATTTTCTCACAGTATTCCCCGGGAACAAAGTCAGACCATCGGGCCGTGACTTGTACGAGTGGGAGTCTGGGGGCTTGGTGGGCAGCATTGCCGATTCCTCGACTCTGGATGGAAAGTTGCGGACGGACATCATGAGACTTGCCCTCGAGTGCATTGAAGGCGTGGATGTTAACGCCCCGTTTAACTCCAATGCTTGGGAAGATGACTTACCGGAGAGGAAACGGACGCCTCGCATGACCGGTCTCCAGGTCGCAGCTTCCAAAGGGGACCGAGAGCTTGCCAAGGTTCTGCTTCAGTACAGAGCCCGGACTGATGTGGTGGAGTACATAACAGGGTTGAATGCAGCTGGATTTGCGCGGAACAACGGGCATGTGGTCTTGGCGGAATGGCTTGACAGTTTGTCTCAGAAGGAAAAAGAGATGATAATTGTCAAATAGTTCATAAACCCTGTTTGACTATGAAAATGTAGCTTGTTAGCGCGGTTTGCGTCAATTTGTAGCGACCATGGCGCGGGAATTAGCGAACTACTCTGCGAACTGCGCGAACATAATAACGGGGGAGAGACCATCCTTTTTCCTATTTAGAGGTTTGCTCATTAGGATGCACTGCTTAAGTATAGTCGTAAAAGACGCAAAATGCTAACACACTTCTACTTCCAACAGCGTAGCCGTAAAGCTACCCCGCGGCATCTCCGCCGACATATGGCGAAAGCAAGAGTAGGTTTTCTGCTTGGTTTTATGCAGGGAGCTTCTCTTTTGTGTGAATGGATGGTGACGACTTATTTATTTTCTGAAATCTGCTCGACTTATTAAAAAGAAACGTTAGGTGAAGACGGCAGCCTGTCAAACAGTTTAGGTTAGCATAAACCATTTCGGCATTGCCTGACACGTCACTCTTTACTCTGGGCGTCGAATACATCATCATCATCATCATCATTATTACAAAGTGAGCAGCTCACCTCAGGTCCACTTTAGTTGAACACCTCCAACAAGACCATAACGGAATCTGCCTAGTATATAGACAGGACTTGAGCCAGGAAGCTCAAGGACTCTCCCATAGCTCTTGAGCAACGAACTTCGTAATTCAGTCTACTATCAATGACTCTTAGATTATCCTTCTGTTGTGAAGCCACACGAGCTACCTACGCCTACTGAGTATATGACTGATAACTGTATACTTAATAGACCAGCAAGATTACTAACAAGCTAACAAGACCCTGTTACTGTTCATCTAGTATCAATCTCAGCTACCTGTTAGCAGAAAACGCTACCGTCGGATATCTGACAGTAACAAATGTGTTGATTGCTGCTTGTAATTAACAGCGTCGATTTTGCAACAGAAGTTTTAATAATTACGCAATATAGCCCTCAGAGAGACAGCTCCTAAGCTCTACAAAGAAAGGACTAACTTAGTTAGGTTTATCTTATTTATTACTACTTAGTTCGCTTAGTATATCCTTAGCCGGCTAGCTAGCTTCTTATTGGGTAAATCCTCTTTAGTACTACAAGATTAACCTTAGGCTTAAACAAGAATAGATTTTACACAGTCTTTAAGCATCATTAATATCACAGACTAGCATTATCAGAGCTAGCGGCCAGCGAGGTAACTGTCACTATCAGTCTTCTCTATTAAACGTGAATACCCTATTTCTGCCCTGTGGTTATTTTCTTCACTTTTAAATCTCGCTGGTTGGTTTTATGTCACTTTTGCTCCCTATCTATTCATCTCTTGCTGGTCCTGTGACCGTATCCTTTTCTGGTTTGGAATAGGCCTATACAAAGCCTATTATCTCCATCATTCCGCGCGCCCTTTTTATGCGATATTCTCTTCCACCTAGCGCGGACTGGCTGCGTTCTCTCTGGCTTTGTCAGTCTTGCGTTGTGGTCGTAAAATGAGGCAGTTATCGCACGCCTTGCCACCGCTTCATAGGACATGTCATTAAAATAACTTCTATTTTTACTGGAGCCTTCTAACGCCTCCGTAGTAGCACTGGCTTTTTATTGAGGTCGCGCGACTCGTTCTAAGCCTTGAAATAAGCATGGGATGTTGAATGCTTTGGGGCAGATCAGTGTACCGATGAGGGTCAACAGATATCATAGCGTTTTTTATAGTTCCAGAAGCCGTTGCAAGGTTTTGACGTAAAGATGCACTCATTCTCTCCTCCGATTTGTTTTAAGACTGATTTGAGGCCGAACGGAGAACATAATCCGAACTTTTTTGAAACCTAGAAGATGAAATCGAAAAGGTACGTAAGTAGCAGCACAAACTTCAGGAAGAGTACCTTGCTTAGCATATCCTTCAACACTCAAACTAAATGCTGATTCGGGACCCTAGTCGCAAGTTAGCGTACCCAAATCGGCCTCAGAAATCGTTTTCGTTGCCGAGGAGTATGTTTCGTCATCGAAAACTCTACTGTCGCCATCGAGAGTTCTCTTTCGATCTTTAAGTTTCGATTGCTAGCAAGGAACAGTCCATTCATGTTTACCATGTTTTACTCACTATAGGTGTGTGGCTTTAAACCGCTCCAATCGGAGAGATGCCCAACCAATGTGGGTGCAGGTTGGTGAGTTTATCAATTGTCCAAGAAGCGGCGGGCGTCACAAGTCGTGCTGTTTAGGCGAGGATTTCCACACATGACTCGGGGTATTGTAAACGTGAACATAAGACTATCTGGTACTGATGCAGCTTTCTGAAGGGACTTGTATTCGGTTGTCGATGTTTTCAAGGCCTGTAATTGTTCTAGAGGTTGATTCACTGGAACTTTTCTGATTAAGTCAATTGACCGAAACATTGGCACGGTTGGATTGAAAATGTTCTTCGCTCATGTATCATACTGCCCGCTACACAAAAAGCAACCATGCTCTATTTGGATTGTTTGTCAGGCACATTGGCATAAGATGAGGGAAAGCGCATCCTGGTTGCCGAAACTCTCCGTACATGCTGGCCCATCAAGCCGAATAACTTTGTTGAAGTCTAGGATTTTAATTCCCGTTGAATAGACTTCCTCTATGCATAAGTGTTGCTCTCGAGAGCCAGCACCGAATGATTTATCGGACTACCTGCCGGGTATAACTTTTTCTTGCCATCTTCGATCGTTTTCATCACCACGTGTTTTTCCGGTTGGTGAGGGGGCAAAGGATAGGGTTTTATCCTTTCTGATCCCAACCAGATCGAGGAACTGCTTCTCTGCCAGTTCTTCATGATCCTTCATGACCCCAATGGGTGGCGCCAATAACTGTTCTGCTTGTTGGCGTCTACGTCTTTTACCACAAGGAAGTAAATTGACTTCATACGGCCGATGGCCTCAATAAGCAGTAATGAGCAGCCCCTCAAGTCTGGTCGGAGCAGCACCGCCGCCTCCTGGGCAGATACCCAACTTTGACCACCCGCAGGACGAGAGGTATACAATCCACATGACGTTTATGATCTTGGCGCAAGTAGTCGTTACGACATTCTTGTTGATCCACGTATACGTAAAGTTGTTGGGAGTTAAGAGCTTTCGATTGGAAGACTGTAGGCTGTGATCCTCTCGCTTGCGAAGGCCAATTTGCGCTAATATAGTAGACAGGGAGTTATCTACTGGGATGGGTTAGTTAAGAAAAGCAAGGCTCGCAGTTTGACGCTCGGATCCTGACAGAATCAGGCGTTTACAACATGTCACAACATAACCGTATTTATAAGTACATTGCTTGATTCTCTGATCTGATTCTAATGTGCTAATACTCTGGATAGAGCTCCATTTTGGGGAAGGCTTTCACATCTGGGAAATTAGGGCGAGCAGCTACAAAGAGCTCCAAAAGGTACGAGGACCATTTGAGTATCAGACATCTTTAAACTAACGTCATCCACCGCAGTCTTTCTATGTTGGCACCATAGTGTTTTCGCCAGCTGCTTTTTTCACCAAAGCAGCTATCTTACTCCTCGTCGTGCGCATCTTTGCCGTCGAAAGGATAACTGCCCGGATACTCTACACCATTCTGGCTCTTTTTCTCATATGCCATATAATAGCCCAACTTGCCAAGACTCTAGTGTGCATACCCGTACAAGCCAATTGGGATCCCAAAGTCCCTAACGTCAGATGTATCAACCAGACGAAGGTCTTCGCGTATGACACCTCACTTGGTATCATCTCCGATCTAACTATTTTGGCTGTCCCGATCATTCTAATGTGGAAGTTACAAATTCCGGGGTATAGGAAAGCGAAAGTCGTGGGTATCCTTAGTGCGGGTGGCGTAGCTGTTGCCGTTACGATTTGTCGTTTGGCTCTGTTGTTCCGATTTCAAAATACGACCGACCCGACTGTCGACTTTGTTGCAATAGACTGGACTGCGTAAGTCTTCTACTTGAACAATATTTCCATATCCATCGTCATTACTAAATGTAAACAATCAGCACTGGAGAGGTCACTATTGGCTTGGTGTGCGCAGCCCTTCCCTCGATCAACTATCTCCTTAAACAACGCACCGTCAATAAAATACCACCTAATATTCCTCGAACGACGCCCTCTCGGTGGGCAAAGGTTTTGAGGCTGGTCAAAAGAGATGGCGTGAGCCATCAGCATCCGGATTGTGACATTGAGCTTGCGGTGCTTTCGAGGCAACTGGACAACACTCACTCCAAATGACTAAAATGTGCGTTTACACATTTTATAAATGATAAATGGTCATTATGCTGATTTCTTTAACAGTGTCAAAGGACAATTGAGCAGCCCGCCCACGGGCACTGTGGCGCAGTGTGGCACAGGCACGAGGGTTAGCCACGGGGTTGTAAAGTTCATAATACTGTCTCAGGGTACAGGGCCCTTTTAACCAGCAAAAGACTAGAGATTAGCAGGCTAAGATCCGGCTTCTATTCAATATAAGACCTACGTTTTATAATTATGGTATTCTTAACTATAGTTCTTTTATAATTCTAGATCTTCTTAAAATTCACTGATAACAATAATAGTAATCAAACAAAAAAATGGTAAAAAGTATAAACCTATAAGCCTTAGGATTAAGTTTTACTATTAAATCCCTAGGAAAAAACCTATAAAATAATATCAAAACACAAAAGAAACTAGCCTATAAATCTATACAACACTGATCATTGCCCATCATTATTATTAGCTTTGAACATGATCCAGAACGCACATGCTGCTGCCAAGAAGCCCGTTGTCGAGGCCAGTTCCGGCTCGACCGTTATTTCTCTGGCACTGGGGTGTTGTGTTATGAACCAGAACGACGACGTCACGGCCTATGTCACGAACAAGACGGAAATCTCTCGGCTGCAGACTCTGGCATTCTTTGGAATCAAAGTGTAAGGCGCCTTTCCGTGGCGAGTTGCTGTGGCAAAAAGTAACTGACTGAGACGTGCCTGGGCGCGTCCACCAGGAAGCTGTACGGGGGACCAGCTCAGCCCGCGATCTCGGATGAGCGAGGCATCATCAACAAGATCCGTCGACAGGCCGAGGCAGACGGTAGCGGCATCTGGGCCCCGATGCAGTATGAGAACGAGGACAATTACAAGTCGCATATCCGCTGGACGGGCCCCAGCTTCTGAAGCAACTGCCCGATATCAACGTATTCTGCTCCGGCATGGGGAGTGCTGGTAAGCGCGACTGTTTTGTTGCAAGGTTGGACAAAAAGCATGCCATTTTGACTGACATGTCGTTACCTTCAGGATGTATCACGGATACCGGCCTGTACTTGAAGGAGCATAAGCCCGCAGTCAAAATCATTGAGTAAGACTGACTCTCCCGACCCCTGACCCCTGACCCGCTACCCCAAACGGGCCGTTCCATGCTTCGGCCGCTTAATCCTACATCGTTACGTATTTTCTCGTCTAACCTCTATCTCTCTCACATGCAGTGTCTGTAACCGGACTGGAGATCCGATCCCTGGTCCGCGGCCGGCGCCAATGTTCGAGTCCATCGATTTCCCGTGGGAGACTGTGGTAGACGAGGTGCAGGAAGTGGACTCGCCACAGTCCTACCGCATGTCTATACTTCTCTCGCGCGAGGGACTCATTTGCGGGCCGTCCTCTGGCATGGCCCTGCAGGCACTCCTCAACGTGCTGCAGAAGGCCAAGGTCGAAGGTCGCTTGGCCGAGTTCGCAGGCGCCGATGGCCAAGTCCGCGCTGTCTTCACGTGCTGCGACCTGCCGTATCAGTACATGGACAACTACGCCCGAAAGCTTGGCCCATTGGCTTTCGAGCCCATCGGGAACGTTGTAAGTGGCTCCCAAGTCCCCGGTCGGACAGTTCTTGATTAGTTTTCGAATGAGGTCTTTCTTTGGGACTAATTCTGGGTAATGCAGCATCTCCTCAGCATCGACACCCACCCGTATGACGCGGCGTGGGAGCTGGAAGCGACCGCTGCAGTCGAGTGGCTGCACAAGACGGCCAAGTTTGCATTGAGTGAGAAAGTGGTGGCAGTGCCCGGCGTCAAGGTCGTCGACATTCGCGCCCCGGCCGACTTTGCGAAAGAAGCCCTATTCGGTGCCCAGAATGTCCCCTTTGACTCGGTTAAGGACGGTATCGCCAGTCCCTTCGACGACGTCGCCGTGCTGGAGGATCAGTGGACAGAGATGGAGGAACTGGTTGGTCCTGAGCCGGCAGGGCATGAGCTGGCCGAAGGCGGGGGCCCAATCCTGGCGGTTTGCTACGACGGGGAGAGTTCCCGTGTCTTTACAAGCATTCTGAGGGCACATGGGGTCGAGGGGTACAGCATCAAGGGCGGATTCCCTTCCTTGAAGGCGGTATGGAGGCATGGACCGGGCCGAATCTGACGAGACGTCAGGGTATGGGATCCTGTGGCTCGGCTTCCGAGCCACACGGTGAAGAGTGTTGGTCGAGGACAAATAAGATGGTCAATACCCCTGAAATAACGTGCTGCCGACAATGCTTGTCGGGTGGATCTACCGCGCACACGCTGCCCACAATAAGGATGATCTGTGTGATTAGTTGGTAACCGGGCAATAGACACAGATCAGCTTTCCATACGGCATGCCGGGATTCTATGGTGTCTTCAAGCATGGGCCCTGGTCCGACACCGGTGAACCTGTCGTCCGACCAAACCCGCACCATGGTCGTTGAGACTGTGTAGAAAATGAAGACCTCACGAAGCACGCCGACATAAAAAGGTGCATTGGCCACTTGACCGAGTAGGGCGAGACAAGCTTCTTGCTCTTAACCTACACAGTCTTTACCAAGTACAGTCTTATCCAAGCAGGTCAACGGTGTCTATCATGTGCGCAACTCCCCTGCGAAGGATTGGGGTTCTCGGGCAAGTCTTGGTCCAGGATAACATGCACAAGTCCAGCACGTGCTTTTTGCTGACGGTGACAACAGAGCGGGCGTCATTGGACTGCAGACTGCCTTGATTCTCAAAGAGGCAGGTTTCAACGTCGTTATTGTCGCCAAAGACTTTCCGGGGTCGGAAGACCCTCTGTATACATCGACGTGGTAGGCTCACCCTGCGCCCGTGGGCTGTCATTGATCACTACCCCGTACCGAGGGTGAAGAATGTCACTGTATAACTAATGTGAATACAATAGGTCTGGGGCGGTGAGTACTTGGCCTTAACCCATGTACCTCCGAACCTTACGGCGGACTAAAAGTCTGAACACCACAGCAATGGCGGTCCAACATCAATGTCGGCAAACAGCAGGACTGGGACCGGCAGACCTTTCTGCATTGGTCCGATTTGGTCAAGTTCGCTTCCGCGGAGACGCTCAGCCTGCAGGTAAGCATGCAGATGGGATGCAAGGCTGGTTGGGACAGGGACGATGGGTGCGCGAGGCCATGTTGACATGAGGAAACCACCTGCAGCTGCATCAAGCCACGTATCTATGGTCCGTCGAACCCCACACCGGCAAGAAGCACGCCATGGCGCTCACCATTGTTTGCACAGGGACCACGCAGATGATTGCCTGCCGGAGGATTCGCACTGGTGGACCAAGTCGTTCATCCCAGGCTTCCGCGTCCTCTCGCGCGACCAACTGGCCGATGAAGGGCCATTTGCCGCGGGCATGGCCTACGAGACGTTCGCCCTCTGCCCGACGCGCTACCTCGCCTATCTTCGTAGCCAATGCGAGGCGCGAGGCATCTCATGCCGCACCGGTACCGCGCCCGCGCTGTCACTCGGCGAGGAAAAAGACAAAGACGACATCTTCGCCACGGCAGGATTCGAAGACGTCGTCGGTATCGTCAACTGCACGGGCGTAGCGGCGGCCAAGCTGACGGGTGACCCGCACGCCTACCCGAGCAAGGGTCAGACGGTTGTGGTCGCCGCTACGGCTCGACGCCTGGCGACCAGGCGCGGACGCGAGGGCTGGGAGGCGCTCGTGATGCCGTGGCCGGGCACCAACGAAACCGTGCTGGGCGGCTGCAAGATCCCCGGCGCGTGGAGCACGGAGCCCGATGAGGCCATCACGCGGATGATCCTGGAGCGGTGCAAGCCGCTGGCCCCCGAGCTGCTGAACGCCGACGGCGAGTTCGAGGTCCGCCGAGTGCGTGTCGGTCTGCGGCCGGCCCGTCACGGTGGGCCGCGCATGGAGCTCGGGCGTTGCCGCGATGGCAAGTTCATCTGCCACGCCTATGGCCACGACAGCGCCGGGTAAGCTTACCATCCCCCTTCCCGTCTTGCCCTCTGTATCCTCCTTTTTTTCGTTTCCCGAATTGTGGTAGCCTACGTGTCTGACCTTCTTTGCAAACGTCAGTTATGAAGGATCCGTGGGGATGGCGCGAGAAGTCGTGAAGTTGGTGGCGGATCATGTCGTTGCGCTCGGGCATGCTACAACTTGAGGGTTATGCACAAGTTAGGCGGTGGTGCAACTCGATGGACGCGGGATGGGGTGGAGCGTAGGGCTGCCGTAATAGCCGTAATAGGCTGGAAATGCAGGGGCAGGTTGCAACGGAGGAACTCGATGCATACGTAAACCCGCAACGCGTAGTATTGCACCAGATTGCTTCGCATCGCGCAACCCAGCCCTGCAATTCCCGTTATATAATCAGAACCAACCATCTCCTCCTCCCACCTCCCATATGTACAATGCCCTCCCTGAAAGACTCAAACCCTTCTACTTCTCCGGAAGCCCCGGATCATACCTGTTTAGGCTTTAAGTCTCTAGTCCTCTACATCACAGCTGCAGAAAAAGCAATTCTACACACCACTCAGATTGTTAGTCTCTGAGTGATGAGATGGCGTTACACACTAAGAGAGGCAACGTCACACGCTGATAATCATTCGGAGGGCTTTGCAAGCCCTGACGTGTTTTGCCAAAGCCCCAAACGAATGGCCAATGGTTCTCCCAACCAAATCCTGCCATGTCAGAAATGCCGCTCGAAGCTCGGTTTGCCGTCGTTGCTGGCGCGGGCGCTTTCGACTTCACGCCCGCCTTCGAGGATGCCGTTCTCTGCATCGCCCCTTCGGCCCTCTTTCTGGTTGTGGCACTACAGCGTCTCTTCTGGCTCGCGAGACAGCCTCGCAAGGTCGCCAAGAGCCACCGGCCAATCTTCAGAGTGGCACGTGATAACCTCTGGGCCCGAACCCATGGGCTTTTTCTGAGACCCCTACTGACTGTTCCAAGGGATTGATCGGCGTCTACACGGCTCTACAACTTGCAGTCTTGCTGTACTGGGCTCTGAATACAGAGAGGCGGCCTCTCTTTCAGTTGCGGACGTCAGCCGCCGTGCTCGCCTTCGTCGATGGGTTTTTGCTCTTGTTCCTGTCCCACGCCGAGCACGCGCGCTCGGTGCGCCCGTCGACCATCATCAACGTTTATTTACTCTTTACTTTGCTCTTTGACTGCGTTGTCGCCAGAACCCTGTGGCTTGCGGACCATGACCCCACCATCTCGGGCCTCTTCATCTCCACTGTCGCCATCAAACTTTTTGTCTTGGCTTCGGAAGCTTTGGAGAAGAGACCCATACTCTTAGCCCAGTACCAGAATCTCTCCCCAGAGGCAACCAGCGGCATATTGGCCCGGAGTGTCTTCTGGTGGCTAAACTCATTGATGCGAACCGGGTTCGCTCGCTCCCTCGCCGATCATGATCTGCTCCCCGTTCACGACAGCCTAGCGGCACGAACACTACTCCCCAAAGCACGAAACTCGTTTGCTTCGTCGAACCATTCCAACCGCCATGCCTTGGCCTTCTCCACGTTGTGGGCCACCAAGTACATCTTTCTGGCTGGCGTGGCACCTCGGCTTGCATTGTCAGCTTTCAAGTACACGCTGCCCTTTCTCATCACCAGGACGACTTCCTGGACGGCCGATCCGTCGCAGTCGGACGCAGTGGGATGGGGACTGACGGGCGCATGGCTGCTGGTCTTCATCGGGCAAGCAGTTTCCAACGGCTTTTATTATCAGATGGCATATCGATTTGTCACCTCGATTCGCGGTAGCCTCTGCAGTTTGATCTACATTAAGACATTGGATCTCAGTACCACGGCTCTCGACGAGTCCGTGGCGGTATCGCTCATGTCCACGGACACCGAGAGTATTTGTCAAAGCGCCGCAACCTTGCACGAGCTTTGGGCCTCGCCAATCGAGTCCGCAGTCGCCATCTTTCTCCTGTACAGGCAGCTTGGCCTCGCCGCTCTGGCCCCGGTCGGTGTAGCAATCCTTGCCACTACTGGCATGTTGTGGCTTGCCCAGTTCATTGGCATGGCCAAGAAGAGATGGATGATGGGCATCCAAACGCGAGTCGATGTAACGGCTTACGTCCTCGCGTCAATCAAGGTTAGGATCCACTGAAAACGCCTGATAATGGCCATTCTTGATGACAGGCTATAGTACTGATTGGTTTGCTGCAGGAAGCCAAAATGCTTGGCTTGTTAGATGTTGTCGCGAACATGATCCAGAACCTCCGCGTAACAGAGCTGGACTTGTCCAAGCAGTATCGCAGACTGTTGACCGTACAGACTTTCATTGGTAGGTACCTGAGTAATGGACCCTTGCTATGCCGCGCTCTCAACGTGCCCTTATGACACTGCTGCTGACTTCTTTGGCCGAGCAGCAATGAACACGGCGGCCATCGCCCCTTTGGCGACCTTTGCAACCTTTGTGATTGTTTCCAAGAGCACTGGTCAGCCCTTGAACACGGAGTCTGCTTATGCCTCGCTCTCGCTGATTTACCTCTTGTCGAACCCCTTGGTTGTTGTCTTTCGTACCATCCCATTCATCAGCGCGGCCCTCGCGTGTTTTTCTCGCATTCAAAACTACTTGTTGTCCGAGAGCTGTACCGATTACAGACTGCCCTTGAGCGAGCGACATCATCATCCAAGCCAAGACGATGACAAAGGAGACACGCTTGTGGCGATATCAGGAGCCAGTTTTGGCTGGGTTCCCGGAAAGCCGGACAGCCTCAGCGACATCACCGTCAACATCCGCAGGGCTTGCTTCACCTTCGTCGTCGGACCCGTGGGCTCGGGCAAGAGTACCCTCATGCAAGCCATTCTAGGAGAAGTCCCGCTCCGAGCAGGTTCCGTCCATGCCGATCCCGGCAACATTGCGTTTGTTGGCCAGGAGCCATGGATTCAGAACCTGACGATACGCCAGAATATCCTAGGCAGTGCCAGCTACGACGCGGAATGGTACGGCAAGGTCGTCTACGCGTGCGGGCTGGCGCAGGATATCGGCGAGCTTCCCAACGGAGATGCGACAAGGGCGGGCAGCGCGGGTTTTTCGTTGAGCGGCGGTCAAAAGCAGCGGCTCGCCTTGGCCCGAGCTGTCTACTCCGGGGAAAAGACGGTTTTGCTGGACGATGTCTTTGCAGGGCAGGATGCGGCGACCGAGGAGCACGTCTTCCAGGGCCTTTTTGCCAAGACAGGTCTCTTCCGGCAGATGAGCATGACTGTGGTCTGCGTCACGAATGCCATCCATAGACTCGCCTATGCCGATCATGTGGTCGCTCTGGATGTGAGCGGCCACATCGTGCACCAAGGCTCATTCGCCCAACTTCAATCTGATACAGATTATCTGCATGGGCTGGCAGTCGAGCAGAACGGCACGATTGACGCGCGGGACGCAGCTGAAGCATCCATGCAGCATCGCCACGAGATTGTTCCCAAGGGCCCATCTGAAAAAGATGCTGCTCAGGACAGCGACGAGTCCGAATCGCCCGGTCGAGTCCTTGGCGAGTTTGCCACATATGCATATTACTTTGGCTCCGTCCCTGTATGGTACACCATACTGTTCGCTGCCCTCATCATTATGTACGCGGGAGGGTATCAGATGACGGCACTCGTACTCAGCTTCTGGACGAACGCTGCGGAAGAATCCGGCCAAGCCACCGATGACTACTACCTCGGGCTTTTCGGAATGCTCACCGGTCTCGCCGTCTTGGGCATTACAGGGGCCGCCTATTTCTTCCTGACTGTCATGGTGCCTTTGAGCTCCGAGGTTCTCCACGCTCGGCTTCTACATTCCGTCATGGAAGCCCCCGTAGCCTTCTTCTCGCGCACCGACGTCGGAGTCACCACGAATCGCTTCAGCCAGGACATGTCGGTCGTCGACACCGAGCTGCCCTTCGCCCTTGTGGATTTCTGCGTCAACTTTGCCCTCATCATCATGTCGGTCATCCTGATGTGCGTCTTTTCTGGGTATTTCGCAGCCGCACTTGTGCCCTTTGTCGCTTTCTGCTGGTGTGAGTATTGACAGCCCGCCCCCAAGCACCTTGATGTGATACAAACAAAAGCCATGGCACTGACCATGGGCCAACAGTACTGCAAAAGTTCTACGTGCGGACGTCTCGGCAGATCCGACTATTTGATCTCGAAGCCAAATCTCCCCTCTTCACGCAGTTTCTCGACCTCCTCCAGGGCCTGTCCACGGTGCGGGCGTTCGCGTGGGGGCCGCGGTTCATCGAGCAGTACCTGGACCTTCTCGACGCCTCGCAGCGACCCTTTTACCTACTCTTCTGCATCCAGCGCTGGCTGGGCCTCGTGCTCGACCTGATGACCGCCGTTCTCGTGACCGTCATGATGGTCCTTGTCGTGAAGCTGCGGGCGCAGCTGTCGGCGCAGTACGTAGCCCTGGCCCTCGTAAAGGTCATGTCGTTTGGCCAGTCGCTGGCCCACGTCATCCAGGATTGGACGCAGCTCGAGACGTCTTTCGGCGCCGTCGCGCGCGTCAAGATGTTCTGCACCGACACCGAGTCGGAGAACCGACCCGCCGAGACGGATGCCGTGCCCGAGAACTGGCCGGCGCACGGCCGCGTCACCATCGAGGATCTGGAAGCCTCGTACGACGCGCTCGGCGGCGGCGAGCCCGTCCTGCGCGGTGTGAGCCTCGACATCCCTGCCGGTGCCAAGGTTGGCATCTGCGGCCGCAGCGGGAGCGGCAAGAGCTCGCTCCTAGGCTGCATTCTGCGCCTCCTCGAAGTCGGCCCCGGCTCGCGCATCACCATTGACGGCGTCGACATCACGACGCTGCCACGGCAGGCTGTGCGCGCTGTAGTGGCCGTTGTGCCGCAGCACCCTTTCTTCCTGAAGCATACCAGCCTCCGCGACAACCTTGTCGTCCTTCGCCGACAGCAGCACCAGCAGGAGCACGAACGGCAGGAGCAGCAGCAAACCGACGATGATAAGATCCTCCAAGTCCTGCGCCGGCTCAAGATGGACGATGTTGTAGATCGGCTGGGCGGCCTAGACAGCCCGCTGGACGCCGATCGGCTCTCGCAGGGCCAACGCCAGCTCCTGTGCATCGCTCGGGCCATGCTGGCGGGCAAGCGGATCATTCTGATCGACGAGGCCAGCAGCAACATCGACGAGCGGTCCGAGCGGCTCATCAGGGACGTCATGCGCGAGCAATTTGCCAGCTGCACCGTCATTGCCGTTGCGCATCGCCTCGGTGCCGTTGTCGACTTCGATCGTGTTGCTGTCATGGGCGGTGGTCGGCTCCTGGAATGGGATAGTCCTCGCGCTCTCCTGAAGCGAGATAGTGAGTTCAAGAGGCTTTGGGATCTTGGGGCAAGTTAGAGGAGCGGTCAGGTCTATAGGGCTTGGGTATCATCCGGATAGTGTTAGGTTAGGTTATAGCTAGAAACCGTAAACAGGTACACGTTAGACAACTAAGCAGCTCAAGTGCTGGCACCCCACCCAGCTACTTAACTAGCTCTGGCTGCTGTATTTCTTCATCTAGTGGTATTTGTAGCAAGTTTGGTGAGCAGCTGAGCAAGTGTCTGAACAGGGGCGGTGCTTGTGGATTTTCACTCAACTAGTATGTAAAGTCATGTACCAATCAACCAATTTTTCTCCATATTGACTGCCATTCGACTCAAAGACATAATACTCATTTTTCAAACCATTCCTTCTAATTAAATTTAATTCTTAAAATAGTGTCACGGCGGCGAATTCTGGGTTACTTAGCGTACAGCTGTATTGCCTATTTGCAAAGACTGCAAGGTAAGGAAGAGAGTGAATCTACAGCTACGCTAGGCGAGAAAGCCAAACCTCTGTAGGCGCGCCAGCTAGGTCACGTGACTCAGTCTCAATCCCACTCCGCCCACAGTATCCTCCACCGGCTCCACCACAGCCACCGCCACTGCAACAGGGGCTTCACCAGCCACCAGCCGTCACTGCCGTGACAGTCTCCCATTCAAGAAAACTCAGGGAGTTACATGAAAACCAGCACACGGCGTTCCAACTTCGTTTCGGCAATCGCTATTGGCACCAGCGATGGCGTAGGCGTTGGTGCCAGTGCAAGAAAAGAATGCCGAGCACTGAAAAGCCACCGAGAACCCAGCAGCCCAACTTCCATCAGTTGCCTCTTCCTCGAAGTCCAGGAAGCACGTTGATTGGAATTTCAAAGGACCATTGCCAGTTACCTCGCACGAGCAGCCAACCAGATCAGGCGTCTCACCGCTGATTCCACCGATGGGGGCTGTGCAGGTACCAGATGGCTGGCCCGGGCTTCTTTCTGGGTCGGTCCAGGTTCCAGAGATATAGATCTCGCTTCCCACTTTGCCTCCGAGGGCGCAGTACTTAGCGTGGGCCTGCCAGGTACCAGCAGCGCGAGCTTCAAGCTCAGACGCTGTAGGGTTCAAGTACCTATTACTGGTTAGAATCTCTGCCATGATTTCATGAGGTCTGGGATATACCTATGTAGCTTTTCATTACCCATATCGGTGGGAACGGCGCTTGCAAGAGCAGCAGTTAGAAGCACATTGGCAAGAGTGAAATGCATTGTTTTCAAAAGTCGAGTGCGTTGGCTGACCGATTAGAAAACTAACACTACGTAAAGAGTCTGTGGATGTCATGAATTAAATGAAGTCCTCAGTAGAAGGGATTCCACTATCTTATATATTCTACTCGTTTTATAAGCGATCCCATGAGTTAGAATGGCTTCCCTTGGTAGACCCTATCTAAGTTATGGAAATTGTGTGTCTAGAATATTATATAGAAACAGACTCTTTACTTTGTCAAACCTACCTCTCCAAATCCAATCAGCATGAAAATGTAAATTAGATTAATGATAATGACCAAGTGGCTACCCATGGTCGTTATGCAGACCGGTTAGATGGATATAATTGACTGCTTAATGATGATGTGAGGGAAATATAATAAAACACAGTGTAAAAGGAAAAAGAGTTAAAGTTCCTGCTTGCCCCCAGGCACTTGATTACACTACGTATGTATAGCGATTTAAGGAAAATAGAAACACTATAACTAGGGTTGCTTGAATTCCTCGGTTAGTTCGACAAGCTGACAAACTCAAAACTGTGCTGCAATCTTCCTAGCTAGAACCTAAATCAAACACCTTATTCATCTTTTCTGTTGCTAAGTAAGATTTAATCTTTCGTACTTGCAAGCAGTCAGACGTGTTCCATTAGATACGGTAGTCAAGTTGATCTAGGTAAGCCTAAGTAACGAGCTCGCGCTTGACACGCAAACATACACATGAGTGAGTCAAAGTAGCCGGAATCCTAAGGAACTTTTGCAAATAACCTTTGCTGAAATTGTCGGTCTAGGATTGATGAGCATAGTGAGTTCACAGTGCATTATATTTAAGTGTGGTTATACACGTACAAGTAGGATACGGCTTAGACAGCAAGACATTTTGTAGTAGCCGAATACTACGTATCATAGAGGGATATTCGTATCCTCGGCATCTCCATACCTAACCGTTAAGGTTTCCTCTAACACCCACGGCCCTAGGCAGCTTATCATTCGTTCTTTTTGTAGCCTTTGCAAAGCTGATAGGTTAACAACAAAACCAAGATGCTATCAAAGTCGTTTTATTGACTTCGTGAATAATACCAGTTAGTTGAAAAGATAGATTAGCTTGACAATTTGATAGAGTTGATAAATACACTTGACGACCAGTATTGATTCACCATGTTAGCCAGCCCCACAAAGATAGAATTACTGTTGGATAAGGCCCTGACTTTATCTCTGTGATTTTCGTTCTAGTAACCAGATCCAGCTTTGTCGTACTAGGAAACCATATTTCGCCATAGTTAATTACACCAGGTGCTAACAACCCGCCCTTCGCCAAGATAGCACGAATCAGATCCGCTATCCGAAAATACCTAATTTAGAGATTAAACTAAGTTATGATTCACTCATCAAGAGGGAAAACGGATGTTTCAGTGGATACTTTGGCCATGGGCAAAATGAGCTCTATCTAAACCCTGCGGGACACCCAATGTCCAAGTATCTTTATGAGACAGTGTCAAGTTATGCCGTGGCAAAACGAGGAAGTCTTGCTAAGCAGTTAGTGAACACTTGAGCTATGTGGTTAGGAGTTTAGAGTTTTTGCAGAATCAAGTGTGCCTTTTGTAGAACACTGTTTAATAGGTAGCAAGTACTATTTACAACATTGTGTTTAGGGTACGAGTGGCGAATCGTGATAACTTCAGCGTCACAGATGATTGAATATATAAGTCAAAGCACCCACTTTTCGGCCACCCCTGCTTTTCGGCCACCCGAAAATGCCGCCCAGCTACCCATTTTCTAGATGCCCTTTAACTTCTAACTATTACAATATTTTCTATTTTTTAATAAATCGCTTTATTTTTTTAGTATCTACTCTTTATAGTCTAATAGTCTAGTATACTGAATCTGAAGTTAATTAAGCGCTTGTTGATATTGTAGATGGGGTATTTGCTTGTGATGCCTCTAAGTGATAAGGGGTATTATGATTAATACTGTAAAGTTAATTAAAGGGTAGTTAACTTAAAGTAGTAGTATTTAAAGACCTCTAAAGGCTCTCTATTAGTTAAGAGGCTAAGCTAATAAGCTAAGTGTAAATATAAGTTGACCTTAGGCTTATGTTAATATATTAGTAAGTTAAAGAATTTGTTTAGTGTATTTTGAATATAATAGGTAATACTTAGCTTTTAAGAAAGAGATAGTTAGATGTTTTTGTATAAAGAAACTTATTTATTAAGGTCTAGAGAAGTTAATTTATTGATTTTAGATATATTAATAAGGTATTTATTAAGATTATTAGGGATTAGTTTAGATATTTTATAATCTTAGTAATATTAGCTATTTAATTAGTTAATAAATATAATATAAATAAGACTAGTATCTTTAAGGGCTAAGGTATAAATAGGCTAGTGTTAAGTAAAGTAAAGACTAAGGCTATATAGAAAAAGTAGCTTAGATTATAAGCTTAGGTGTTTATTATTAAGTGTATTTTAGTTAAGGGCCTAGTATTATATTCTTTTATGATATATAAGGGTAAGATAGTCTAGTAGTAGTACTTCTTTTTAGATCTTAGCTTATGTTACAGCATAGCTAGCTAGTACTGTGGCTGTTACCTGTTAAAAACCCTTAGGGATAGATATGGCCTGTGTGCGTGGCTATGGTAGCTAGAAGGGAGGTTTTAGTTATATAATAAAGGGATTAGCTAGTACCTTTAAAGGCTTAGGTAATTAGCCTAGTACAGCTTTAGATTTCTCTTTTCTTTACTTTTAAGTTTTTATAAATAAGTAATATAGTTATATACTAACTAACCTAGAATTTACTATTATAATATTACTTAAAGGTTACTTAATACTTCTCTAGAAATAAAAGATTAATATTTTAACCTTAATTAATTCTTTACTACTATAATTTATCTAATAGCTTACTACTCTTACTATATATTAACTACTATATATTAGTTAACGCCTTATATTTCTCTTTTTATTTAATAATTAATACTTTTTCTTATAAGCTAATAAGATAATATAATTAGTTAGTATAAATAACCTAGCTATCCTTAACTTTAAAACCTATACCTTAATAAAGACCTTTATAAAAGACTACTATAATACCCTACTACTAATTAACTATAATAATTAAGATAAGCCTTAGATCTAGCCTTTTAATATAAACTACCCTTTAAAAAAATAGCCTCTAGATATATTAATAGTTATTATAAACTAATAAGCCTAAGCTTAATACCTCTAGTTTATTATTAACTATACTTTCTCTTCTCTAATACTTTATAATATAGCTCTTTTTAGTAATAAAAAGAAGTAATAATTTACTTAAAAGCTTTTTAATAAATACTATAGTACTAACCTTAATAATACCTTTACCTAGGTTAAGTAATAGCTAAAGATATAGCTTACTTATTAACACCTAGAGCTTTAGCTTAGCTTTATTACTAGCGTTATAGCTTATAATTATAAGGCCTTTTACTATAAAGCTACTAAGATTATCTACTAGAATCAGGACTTAACTACAGAGATAGCTATACTGAAAGACAAGCTATAAAAAGCCTATAATAATAACTTTACTCTCTTAGACCACCTTAAGGAGGTCTACTCTTAAAGTACTCCTAGTAAAGTAAATAAGGCTATACTTAAGTAGTAATTTACTTAAATTAAAGCAATAATCTATAAAAGATCCTTTATTATCTTTAACTATATTACCTTATTTCTTTATAAATTAAAAGTAAAGCTCTTTAAGGTACTTATTTTTATTAAAATAAAGGATAAAAAGAATAATAAGAATCTTAAATTTAACTATTAGCTTTTTTATAT